GACTTACCATTCGACATGTTGTTAGGCATGTACTACCTCGAAGTTGCTAAGCCCCAGTTTGACTGGGATAAGAAGGTGCTCAAGCATAAGTTGCTCGATGGCCGAACTGTCAGATTGACTAAGTTCAAGGCCAGTAGCATTAGAGATACCTATGGCTGCTTGTGTGCATCAACGTTCTACAATTACTATAAGCAAAACCAAGAGGAAGGTATGTACCTTGTGTATGTCTCTGAGAAAGGGGAGGCCGTTAAAACACCCCCAGAGATAGAACACATCGTTGCTAAGTTCCCTGATCTGTTCGAAGAGCCCACAGGAGATGTTGAAAGGGAAGTTGTCCACGCTATAGAAATCATTCCAGGGAGTAAGACCCCAAAGGGAAGGATATATAGGATGGCTCCCGCCGAGTTAGATGAACTTCGGTGACAGCTTAAGGAGCTGACAAAAAAGGGATGGATTCGGCCTAGTACTTCCCCTTACGGATCTTTCGTGCTATTCGTACCGAAGAAGGGGGGTACATTGAGGCATTGACTATAGAGGCCTCAATGCCATCACTGTGAAGAACGCAAAGCCTCTACCTCGCATAGACGACCTATTGGATAGGGTGCAGGAATGCAAGTACTATAGCAAGATAGACTTGAAATCCGACTATCATCAGATCGCTATAAGGCCTGAGGACCAACACAAGATAACTTTTAAGACTCGTTATGGTCTGTATGTGTTTGTAGTGATGCCTTTTGGTCTTTGTAACGCGCCGGGAACATTTCAGCACGCTATGAATCGGATCTTCCATGACCATTTAGATAAGTTTGTCGTGGTATACCTTGACGACATTCTGATCTTTAGTAAGTCTGCTGAGGAGCACGCAAAGCACGTTGAGACTGTACTCTCACTCCTGCGTCAGCACAAGTATAAGGTCAACTAAGAGAAGTGTGAATTCAGTCGCACTAAGATACTATACTTGGGTCATGAAGTATTCGCGGAGGGGATTAGGCCGGAAGATGCGAAGGTGGCTAGTATTCGAGATTGGCCACGACCTCAGACAGTCGCTGAGGTCAGGTCATTCTTAGGAATGTGCGGCTACTATAGGAACTTCGTAAAGAACTATTCTACAGTCGCCTCTCCTTTGACTGATCTAACTCGACTTGACACACCGTGGGACTGGAGTGATGAGTGCGAGAGTGCTTTCAAGAGATTGAAGCATGCACTCTTGAATCATGAGGTCCTCATGGTTCCCGATCCGCAGAAGCCATTCATAGTGACCATTGACGCAAGCCAATAGGGTATTGGCGCAATGTTGGCTCAGCAGGATGGGAAGAAGTTGAGACCGATTGAGTACATGAGCAAGAAGATGCCATCAAAGAAGTTGGCAAAGTCCACCTACAAAAGGGAACTCTATGCTCTATATAAAGCACTTGTCCATTGGAGACACTTCCTATTGGGAAGGTTCTTCTATCTGAGGACTGATCATCAGACCCTCAAATGGATCAAGACTCAACCGGCTTTTTCTGACGCATTCAAGCGATGGATTGAGGTCATAGACCAATATGACTTTAAGCTTGAATATCTGAAGGGAGAGTACAACAAGGTTGCAGATGCGTTATCACGTAGAGCAGACTACCTAGGTGCGCTGGTTTCTGACTTTGGCATATATGAAGAAGTAACTCAATCATTGGTGGGAGCCTATCAGGAAGACCCTGTCACGATGGACATCATGCGCAAACTTCAGGCAAAAGACAAGGCCACAAAAAGTGAGTTTGTGATGGTGGACGGGCTACTCTATCTTGAGAAGGCCGGAATAAAAAGGTTAGTAGTTCCATCAAGTGAACGGTTGCGTAGTTTGTTTTTAGGAGAATGCCATGACGTAACCGGGCACTTTGGCTACAAGAAGACGAGTGCTAATCTAGTCCAGCGATTTTGGTGGCCTGGGATGTTAGGTGACGCAAAGAAATACGTAGAGACCTGTCAGGTCTGTCAGCGGGACAAGCCGTGAACTCAAGCGCCGCTTGGGTTGTTGAAGCCTTTACCTATTCCTGCTGGTCCAGGACAGAGTGTTTCCATGGATTTCATGGACACCCTGCTGACTAGTAAGAGTGGCAAGAGGCACATTTTCGTCATCATCGATCGATTCACCAAGTACGCTAGACTAGTGGCCATGCCAGAGACCGCAAGGACTGACTATGTCATCAAGTTGTTCAAGGACAACTGGGTGCGTGACTTTCGTTTACCAAAGTCAATCATTAGTGACCGAGATGTCCGATTCACAAGTGAACTGTGGAAGAAGACTGCAGAACAGATGGGCAGTCAACCTCAAATGACTTCAGGGAATCATCCCGAAGCCAACGGACAAGCCGAACAAATGAACAGAGTTGAACAGCACTTGCTGCGGCATTACATCAAGCCCAGCCAAGATGATTGGGATGAGCAGTTGCCTCTTATCGCCAACTTGTACAACAATGCTACCCATAGTAGTATCGGCGTTAGTCCTAATCAGTTGCACTTGGGATGGAAGCCTAGATCAGCACTAGAGTTCCTCCTACCTGAAAACCGACCCGCTGCAACTCCAGGCACACTTGAGTATGGTGTGCAGTTTGAGAAGTTGCTACAAGAAGTTGTCGAGCACATGAAGAAAGCTTAGCAAGCAATGATTGCTTCTGAGAATCAACATCGTAGACAGTCCACATTTCAGGTAGGGAAACGTGTCTGGGTCAAGGCTAGTGAGTTAGGACAGGAGTTCGGAATCTCTCGCAAACTAATGCCTCAATACTTTGGTCCCTGGGAAGTCCTAGATATAGTGGGAGATGAGATGGATGGCCCCACATATGTCATTCTCCTGGACACCTACGCACTCACCCAGTCTTTCATGCCTCAAAGCTTGCACCTTTCGCTGAGACAGATCAATTCCCTTCCAGGAGATCGATGCTGCCCCCAACCATGGATGGTCAAGTGGACATCGACGACATTGTGGATCACAGGGATATGCCTGTTCCGAAGCCGCTGGGTCGAGGAAGACCTCCTAAACCCAAGAGAGAGTATCGCGTCAGATTCAGGCATCATATGGATCCAAAAGAAGATCGGTGGTTTACCAGAGGGGAACTGATTGAGACAGCTCCTCAGGTTGTGGCAGAATATGAGAGACTGCTGAAAGGGAAGGCACCTGCAAAGTAAGCATCTCAGGGGACTTTCGAAGCTAAGGGGGATGGAATGTGAGGATTGAGCAACTGGTAACATTGGACAACTGGTAACATAGGTTGAATGTGATTTTATCAGCATTATATGTACCAGCACAGATAGCTCTTACAAAATCAGAAAAAAAATACAAAAACGAAAACTGAAAACATCCATTAAGATTGGAAGCATACAGAGGAGAGTAGCATGGCCCCTGCGGAAGGATGACAAGCATAAAGCGCAAAATGGTCCAAATTAAAAAAAATAAAGAAAGGTATCATGGCTACGCTGGACCCGGACCCGGACAGCTCTTGTCCACTCGGGTCCGGACTTCCGGACTTCCGGACACATCCGGACCTCCAGACATGCATGGTTCTGGACGGTCCGGACCGTTAAGCAGGTCCGGAAATGTCAGGGCCATCAAAAAAAAAAAAAAAAAAAAAAATCTGAAAAAATAATTATAAAATATGTTATGCAGAATAACAATGCAAACTACTTTTGCCTCAGAGTCATGTCAGAATTCCGAACCAAACTTGAGTTAAAAGTCAAACACTTTAAAAAACTTAAAAACAGACTTTAAAAAGTTAAAAACTAGTAAAAGGTAATGAATTATTAATAATTAAAAAATTGGGGATGTCAAATAAATTATTATAGAGAGAGAGCATATTGTGAGGATCAGGGTCCTCGGTAGGCCTATGGGGCCTTGTTTCTAGCATTACCCGCCCTAAGTGAAGGCGGAGATGCCCGCCCTAAGTGAAGGCGGGCCTGGCCTTTTGCAAGAGGCCCTCGACTGTCAATTTCATATTTGGGGTCCAGGCAGTTGCGACGCGCCAGTTGGTTGAAAGAAACATAGGCCGAGCAACAAAGACATTTCCACGGCCTACCGGGCCTTTCCAAAGAATGCAGGCCCTGGGCGTGATTTGCAGCCTCATACAGAGACAGTTGGGCGCCCAACCGAACGAGGCCCAGCAGCCCAGTAGCTGCTGCATCCAGGCAGCCTCCTGGGGCCTTCCCGAAGCTTCTGGGCCCAGGCCAGGGCAGCCAGGCTGCGT